CTCTCTCTCTCTCTCTCTCTCTCTCTCTCTCTCTCTCTCTCTCTCTCTCTCTCTCTCTCTCTCTCTCTCTCTCTCTCTCTTTTCCAGCCATCCTTTCCTTACATCCCCCTTCTTTCTCTGTCTACCTCTTCTCTCCTCTTCAGAGTTCGTTCCACCTAGCTTCCCTGTCCTCTTCTTTGTGACTTGCCTCTTTCTGCTTTTCCTCCCATCTGTATGTGTGTTTCCGTGTACGTATCCAATTGCTCTTTCCTGTCCGGAGCACTTAGCTTTTTTTCCTCTTCTATATGACTAACCTCTGCATGCTTTTCCTCCCATCTCTATGTTTGTCTGCCTGTATGTGTTGAGCCTCCCCTGTCCTTTTCTTTATGACTTGCCCCTTTCTGCTTTTCCTCGATCTAACCATCTGATCGTCTTTGGAGTCTGGACCTTAATACACCTTGTCAAATTCTTTAACCATCTTCCTCGTTTCGCTATTGTGACGTCACTTCCTGCTGTGCGTGTGCACGGCTTTTCTTTATGTACACATACGGCTGTCATACGCTATTACACCTTTTTTTCTTTTTTTTTTTTCTTTTCCGGAGATACTTGGCGTTATATTCAAGGCCAGCTTCCATTCCGGAGAGCAGCAGCCCTGTTCTTCTTCCACCTGTTAGTCAATGGGCCTCGCTCCACCACTCACCAAATGTGCAAATCGGGAATGAATCTTCGGCTAGAACATGGAAAAATGCACCGCCATGAGTATTGAGCACCCCATCATGCCCACACTTGTCATTATCGTCGGTTATCTGGGGATGCCCTGGTGCAATAGCCTCGAGTAGTTCCCCAAGGGGAAGGATTGACTGCTCAGTGACCACCTACCATCCACTACCGTCTTCCCTGTCAATGGAACATGTGGGATGATGTGGCCGTATTTGGCTCACATTTCAGTCCAGATGCAGCAAAAATAACCGTACGTTCTGTTCGGCGGAAGACGGGCAGCAATAAGTTAACATCTACGAGAAGAATTCTAGAAACTATGAAAGCCACGACAGCTCAACAAAATATAATATCAGCTGTGTGGTCAATCTCTTCTGTGGTGTGGCAGCACTGGCAGGTCCTCCCATCCAGAACTAGAGGGTAACACGTGTCACCTCAGTAGGGTGGGCTCCTTTAGATCTTGTACGTCTCTAATTCTTGAAGTTCTTTTTGACTGGCTAGTATCCTAACATCTGAGATTTTTTATTTTCTTTTTGGAAACTGGCGTCTCCTCCTTTGGAAAGAGAATTTTAATTAAAAAAAAAAGAAAAGAAAAAGAGAATTGATTTTTTTTCTTCTTTTTTTCTGAGACTTGGCCTCTTCCACTGCCGAAGAGTCGCCAGAGAACTTACTGTCTCCGGTAGTCTATATCCCGACTCTTGTACAGTCAATTTTTTAATCAGAGGGACCAGGTGTGACCCGATATTCCTGAGGCACTGAATTATTATGCTCTATAGCCAAGCGCACTCAAACCCACCTGCTAATAATGAAAAAGAAACCGACGAGTACCATTCTTAATATATTATTAAAAAAAGTATTATTAAAAACATATCACATTATTATTAGGAACACAATTATACAAGTGTCAGAACAGGCACGTCAGCAAAACAATAAGTATATAGCGAAACCGGTACTGTCAATCGCCTTGTCCCTAACCGAGCGGCGCGTATAAACCACACTTGTCCAGCCGATCGACCGTTTTTTTTTTTTTTTGGAATGAATGCTCCGGCAGTGAGGTATCATCGTGGAATGGTCGGCCGCAGATAATTCAGAAATATTTGATTTCGTTCGTCTAGTTCCATCTGGATTCGAGCACAGGTAGGCAGGTTTTTTTTTTTTTTTCCCAATCAAACACAACCCCTATATATTCTGGGGAGAACCAGTCCGGTTGCTTATCACCGA